TTCCTTAAGCCGTTCAAAACCTATGACATTAACGTTCATGATCGACAGAAGGGAGATACGACGACTTAATGCATCAGCCGCCTGGTTTTCAACACCTTTTTTATGTTTCAAAACAAAAGAATAGGCCTGTAAATATTCAATCTAGCGATCATGCTTAGAATTTAACCTTTTCTGAGAGTTGAGATGATGGAGAGCCTCATGGTCCGAATAAAGAATAAACTCTTGGGACAACAAATAATGACACCAATAGCGCAAAGCCTATACAACTGCATCAATTCCTTATAAGTCGAGTATCGTTGTTTGGTATCAATTAATTTCTCACTTAAATAAGCTATAGGGGGAGTTCCTGACTAAGGACTCCACCTATTCTTACCTCGGAGGCATCACGCTCAACTTAAAAAACTTTGGAAAAGTTGAGAATGTGCATGACATGAGCTTTCGTCATTCGCTTCTTGACTAGCTTAAAAGCCTTAGTCACTTCTTGTGTCTAATGAAACTTCCATCTCTTCAGGCACTCCGTAATAGGAGCCCTGATTGTGCTGAATCCCATGATGAAACGACGATAAAAGGTAGCGAGGCTATGAAAACTCCTGACGTCATGTATAGTTGTAGGTTCAGGCTAATCAACAATTGTCTGAATCTTGGCAAGGTCAGCAGATACCCCCGTAGAGTATACAATGAATCCTAACTCTATCGGTGAAGAGATAACATTTTTTGACGTTAGTATACAATTTTGTTGGACGAAGGGCAGAACAAACCTGTTTGAGATAATCTCAGGGTTGTTCCTTGGTTTTGCTATAGACGAGAATGCCAACAAACTAAAAAATGATGAACTTACTCTTAAAAGGTCAAAGAGTCTATATCATTGCTCTCATAAAAGTACTTGGGGAATTGGTTAGTCCAAAAGGCATAACCATCCACTCATAAAGACTATCCTTCATTTTAAAAGCGATTTTCCACTCCTCATCGGGGAGAATCCTAATCTGGTGATAGCCATTCTTCAAATCGATCTTAGAAAATGTTGTAGTACCAACAATCATATCTAA